ATATAAGATTGCAATACAAGGGGATGAGTAATTATTTCACATGAACATTAATATCTTTAAAGGGGGTGAGTGTAGTTTATGTGATCACAAAATAAAAATTACATATATTATCATTATGAATTTTTGGAACTTTAAGGGATATATAAAGATAAAATACCCATTTAAACAATTGCCCCTTTTCTAATTGATTAAAGGGAGAGAGATAAAGTGTACTACACAATTAATTCTGTGAGGGCCAAATGTATAGTTATAATGATATACTAATATTAATGTAGTGGGATTTTGGTAGCTGTCAGATTAGTTTCAATCCGGACCACTTGCTTTTGTATATATGTTGGGCTAATTAATATACACAGTTTTGTATTCCCTTTCCATATTCCAAGCACTCACATTGATGGAGATAAAGGGCATCTTTCATTATTCTTGAGGAGTGTTTGGATTTAGAATTTTGGTTTATATCTAACTTTTGCATTGTTTAGATGTAGCTTTTTCTATTTCCTTTCTTTTGTTTATTTCCTTTCAAGATTTTGGTTTAGATCTAGCTTTTCTATTGTCTAGATCCCCTTTTCCTTTTAGTTTTCTTCTCATTTCTCTTCTTTTGCTCTTTCCTTTTCATTCATTTTTAGGGCAATAATCTCCTCCTCTAACTCTAGAATAGCAGTTAGTGCATTTGCTTGATGCCGTGTGATTGCAATTGAACAACCAAACTCAATTGATAGCGGCGTTCATGGCACGTGGTACAACTCCTCCTGCTCTTGGTGCCAATCCTCACATTCGGCTGGAGTTCTTTTATGGGAATCCTAGGGATGATGTGTACCATTGGTTTGATCATTTCACGGTGATTGCTATATATCATTTTTGGGATGATGCTCGATGTTTGCATGAGTTTCCCACATGTCTCCAAGGGATGGCATTGCAGTGGTACAATGGTTTGAGTGTAGCCACTCATGGGGATTAGAGTGTTATCCTAGACATCTTCAAATGCACATTCGGACATGCTGACAATTATGATAATGCCTTCCAATAATTGCATTGTTTTCATCAAGGGCCAATGCAATTTGGCGTTCGTTTCTGAAGCCTTTTGCTTCATGCGGAGCCAAATATGTTGGAGCGGATCAAGCTAGGAATGTTGTGGCTAGCACTTTTGTCGGACTTGTGTATACACTTGCTTTAGCCACTTTTGACGATACTCTTTGTTTGGCATAATGTTATGAGATGTTGCCTCTTCTACTTCTCACTTCCCATCCTTCCACTCCACTTCCTGTGGGTGATGGTCTTGTTCCAATGGAGGTTGATGCTGCTACTGCTCGAGTCCAAGGACAAAGGCGACAATGTGGTCGTGGTTGTGACATTCACTATTGGGCATATGATGAAATTGATCACACTTATCAGCGTTATCAGTGTTTTCTGGATTGGCGACCTCCATTTCTTGGGTGGAGACCTTGGCATCAACAACGTCTTGTTGGTGCTGCTACAATGGAAGGTCTAGACACCGAGATGCATCCGGGAAATGAGGAGTCGCGTGAGTAACAGAGGGACTTTGCGAATAAGTCAGTGACCGCTTCATCTTTCTTTCGGGAGTATCATCAAGGGGTGCACTCAACATTGGTTCATCCAGTGTTTACTTTCCAAACTTGTTTTTATAGCAAGAGGTCTCTTATTATTCTCTCCGTATTGGTTGATATAGGTTCGAGTTTATCTTCTATTGCTTGACCTGTTGCCACACATTGCCGTCTACACTTGCATCATGCAGTAGAACTAATTTTCATTCTTTATGGCAACAGTTATGCACATGCATGTGCACGGGGTGAGGCGGAGTTGTGTATGTGGGTGATCTCGAACTTGAGTTGCAATCATTGCGGATGGTGCCAAGTCATGCTTTTGACCTCATCTTTGGTATAGATTAGTTGCAGCGCAATCATGCCAAGTGTGACTTTGAGGTTTCTCCCTCTTGTTCATACTTCCTTATATTTTATCCATTCCTCTCACTTCTGTACCCTTTTGTCCTTCTACTTTTACCTCTACTTCAATTACATTCCCCCCCCCCCCCCACTATTTCCTTCTATGTTTCTATCTTCTTTTCTGATCCCTCCAACAATCTTTATGTTGCATCAGTTGACCGGCTCATGAAGGAGTATTCTAATCTTTTTGAATTTGACTTATCGTTTGAGGCCAAAATTGCCATACGTCATCTGATTCTAACTGGGATGCTCGTCCAATTAAGGTTCTTGTTTGTCATCGGTCACCTAGAAAGATCAAGATTTTACTACAATGTGCAAATAAGC